TAACTTGTAAAGCATATCTAATGAATTCAATTATCATCTAGATCATTAATTTTACCAAACAATATAACAACCACATTTATAAATCAATATAAAATTGAATCATCAATTTTACAAAATAATTATAATGGTTCATTCTTTTTCTACTAAAATTTTCTTACAGTTTTGTCACAAAATATTTCAATAATTAAAGTGGTCCAACAAAAAATCTCTGAAGGACTAGAATGTTAGACATTGTAATTTAAGGATGCATTTTTGCTTATCTACACTAGTCTTACAAAAAGGAGAGGAATTTTATTAGGAAATAGTATTGAGGGAAATCATTAAACAATAAACATTAAGGTGAGTGAAGGCTAACATCGGAACTTGAAGAAGTATCTTTAATTTTACTAATTGGTACAATAATCAAATATTTATTAAATTTTATTTGAGACTTTGTCAGGATGTTGGTCTGGTCGCATCCTTATCAAATTTCATAGGGATTTCTGTTTCCCATCCAAAAATAACTCAAATGACTTCTCTCTTTCGGAATATGTACGAGTAGGTGCATTCCTATACTTTCTGTTTTACCTAAAATACCAAAATCAACCCAAGATTAAGAACCTTAACTGAAGCAAGGAAAATTGTCTTCTATATAGATAATTTTAAGAAAGGAATGAAATTGGTAATATTAATTCTATTTGCAAATAATAAAAAGTAATTTATGATGAAATGATTTATAATTTATTTATTTTTAGTAATGTACAATAAGTATATTTTTAATTTGGATTTTCAAAATAACTATTATATATTAAATATTTATGAATTTTGATCAAAATTACAAGTATATATTTATTATATTATATGAACATTGATATATATGATGACACATATTTTACAAGTATCGTATATTATATATTTTTAAATAATCATATATTCGTATCCGTGCATCATTGATGAAAACATTGGAATACAAAGAAAGAAGAAAACAGAAAGACAAAAAGGGGAACGAATGAAGATAGGACAATAGAATACACCGCACAACAATCAGGTAAAGGTGTCACAGAACAATGTTTATCTGCACGTGGTGTCTCAACCCAAATATCTCGAGAGACACATCACAAACATGGAAAAGTAAAAGCACATATAATGTAAGTGATTCCATATGCATACCTTGTATTTGTCAAAAAATTCAATCTGCACAAATAAAAATAAACTATAGGATTAATCAACCAAAGCAAAATAACTTCTTTCCAATAATTCGAAACAACCATACACTATCTCCAGGCATTATCAAAAAGAAATAATAGATAGAAAAAGAAAAATTATCAAGACAGATAGAAAGATTTGACTCTACCTTCTGAATCAATATTCTTCCAAAGATCTGAACTCTTAGTGTTGACATAATTTTCTCCCACACTATGTTCATGTTTATAACAAAAATAATAGTTAAAAGTGGCTCCAGGGCATACAGAACTCCAATTTTACTAAGCAGCTTCCATAACGGCTCAGGTCTAACACCAATTAGGACTTCAAAAAACCGTCCTAAAAGAACAACACCACATAAGAATGCATATATAGTATGATCAACAGTGAAATCGTGCATAAACAGTGGTAAAAAGGAATCATAAGATAGCACCCCAAATTTCATAATTAAAAATACTGCAATAACAATAACAATTTGTTGTGATACAAACAAGTCCCTAATCGATAAAATAAAACAAGAAATAATAACTTATATAACATAAACACACTTCAATGATTGAGAGGCCTTTTGAGTGATGACCAAAAGCAAAATCATGAGGTCTTAAGTTCAAAGCGGACAATATCTCATCATTGTAGAGTATGTTTGTATAATAACCTTATAAAAATAACTCTCAACAAATACCAATAAAATAATCCCATCAGCAACACTATTTTCCATGAGCAAATAAAATTTCATCATCCCATTTTCTACAAAACGCAGAGATTGTTGTATTCAAGTCCTCAAAGAACAAATGTTTACATAACCATATTTGATGGCCATGTAGCTCAAGCAATTAGACAAAAGAAAAAAAAAATTCTTGGTTAACCACTCCTTTAACAATTTACGTCTTGCAAAAATAATTACTTTTTACAGAAGTTCTCTAAATTAAAGTTACTAAATCGAGATTTAAATCGTGAATTGACAGCCAAATCTTTCAATCATGAATCATAATTCATAGTTTGCATTGAATGGTAAGATTCACAAATGATGAAACGTAACTTCAAATATATCATATAATTGATAAATGATATATAGTGAACAACTAAATAACTTTAAACTAAAATTAAAAGCAAAATTACTACTCCCTCCATTCCATTTTATTTGGCGTTTTGTCAATTTATATTAAATATTTTTTTCATTGCACCCTTAATCAATATTAATGTATTCTTTAATTAATCTATTTTTTTCTTTTTCAATACTTATATTATTGGTAGAAATCCAAACGATTTAACAGTATATAGAAAAGTTATATAATATTATTTTATAAAATAAAAAATATTAATTAATTCAAAAACTCAAATGTATATGAATAGTATTTCTCAAGTCTTGTACCAAAAGCGAATGGAATATTAATTATATGTGAGTTTCTGCCTCTACTTTAGAAGAATAGAAATGAAGCAAATTTAACAACCAAACACACATGTCATGAATCCCGAATACAATTTTCACCTTTTAAAAACCCGACGCATCTAAATTATACATAAATTTTCCCAAAACCCCTTCTAAACTTATATCCAATAATGATGATGAAATGTACAGGTTAAAAATATCCTTTTGATATATTTATAGCTTTCAAAAATTAACTTAATTTTTTTAAAAGTATATATATATAGAGAGAGAGAGAGGGAGAGAAATTCATCTCCATATGTCAGTTTTTTTCTTTAAAAGAAATTGACAACCAAATTATATATAGAGAGAGAGAGAGAGAGAGAGAGAGGTTAAATAAGAAAAAGTGGGTGAAAAAAAAAATACCATAAACTCTTGATAATTTTGTGTTTCATTAAGGTAAGGGGAGGAGACATTTATCCTCTTAAATTTCTATACTATTATATTTATTTATTTTATGTTATATTTATGTATGAGGTGACCCTAACCTCATTTATCCTCTTAATAATTAATGAGATGTTCTAATTTATGTTGCTCAATTATTTTATGATGGTTATCACTATCATTTACTAAATTAATATTTTTTAATACATTCCATTTTTTTCTTTTTGTAAGCTATATTATAATAATTTTAAATAATTAAAAATATTCAAACTTATTTAGCTTAATGATTTTTATATTAATATAAGCTATAAAATAGTTTTGTTAAATTATCATAAGCTCATCTTTTTATTATTTCTTCATACATTATAAAGATAAATGTTATTCTATGGTCATACAAAATAAAGTTTGAATTAATTTATAGTTGGAGGTTTAACCTTGATGATTTAAATGAATAAAAATTTAAGGTGAAATAACCTTTTGTTAGTTAATATTATGACAATACTCATTTATCCTAACTAGTCATTATGAGAATAATTCAAATTTTATCATAACTAGAAAATCTAAAGTATAAATATATATATATATATATATATATATATGTTGATTATAAATAATTATGTGCATTCTATTTAATTATTGTTGGGATACAAACAAGTCTCACATCTTATAAAATAAGACAAGAATAATAACAACTTATATAACACAAACATACTTCAATGATTGAGAGACCTTTTGAGTGATAATTAATTAAAAGCAAAACCGTGAGAGCTTAGACCTAAAGCGGACAATATCTCATAATTGTTGTGTTGTGTGTGTAATAACCTTATGAAAATAACACTCATAAAATATCCCCCTCAGACAAATACTATAAAATAACCCCAACAGTGGTATCAGAGCTGCGGGTTGAATTTAGTGACAACCAATAAGTTATAACCCTTACAAAATGATATTGATAATGTGATATATAAAGACAGATTCCGCTGCTTGAAAGGTTAAGTCCCTTGTTTGAGAGCAGGATTGTTGGGATATAAATAAGTCTCACATCTTATAAAATAAGACAAGAAATAACAATTTATATAGCACAAAAATACTTCAATGATTGAGAGACCTTTTGGGTGATAACAAAAAGCAAAACCGTGAGGGCTTAGGCTCAAAGCAGACAATATCTCATCATTGTGGAGTTGTGTGTAATAACCTTATGAAAATAACACTCATAAAATATCCCCCCTCAGACAAATACCATAAAATAATCCCAACAATTATTTATATTAATTGGATATTTGCTCTCACTCCTTTGGTTTTTCTTTTATTTTGAAAAAAAAATAATAACATATTAATTGATATAGAGATGGATTCTCCACACGTTGGATCTTTTACCGCGTTGGTACACGCATTTTTCCCGAGCATGCAGTGGGCAATCAACACCCAAGATAATATTGTTACCTTCCATGGGCAAGGACCATCAACAATTACGTTACCTAATAAGGATACCTCGATTTTTTTAGATGGACCCATCACTATTACCTTCACCCTCCTATCGACTAATCATGTTAATCTCTTGTATAATGTATAATAACTACTATTGTGCTAACATTGTAGAATAAGGAGGGGGATTGTAAAATAGAATCAATAAATCTCTCCTTACTTTGTAAAAAAAATGTAAAAATGTTAATCCATGTAATGTAAAAATTTTATGAAATGGTAACAATTTGACTTTTCTATATGACTCTTAGCATTTAGAATTTTATAAGAGAGGTAATAATTTAACAATATTGCTAATATATTTATATTTATTATTATTATTATTATGACTTTAATAAGTCAAACGAGTGTAACACCAATCCCTATTCTTTGATTTTTTATATGTTCTCACTTAAATTAGAATCTAGTACGACTGTGAAGTATAGTATAATTAGGTGTGAACCTACCACGACCTTGATATGCATTAACCAAGTCACTTGTGGTATTAACTCACTAACTATCCTCGCGATACCACACACTTATTTAGTAATCAGTTAAAGGTGATAGTCATTGATTTCATACCTTATTTCAACATTGACTAAGAACTTAGAGGAGACTTGAAAATTTACTCCAAGAGTTATCATCTACTCAATGAGGGTTTTCAACAACTAGCATCCAAAAGTGCCATACCAATATTACACAATGGGATGGATATTCATCTTTCAAAAAAATCTCCCTTCTAATCCTAAGTTAATCAACATGTTTTAAGGGTGACATCCTGGTTGCTCCAATATCTACGACGATAGACGACACCTGCAAAGACACTTTGACAATTAAGTCATAGTGAAATTTAGGATAATAATTAGGTTAAGGTTAAGTGATACTTAGTGTCTTATATATGTCATTTTTTAGTGTATCGTGATTTTAGGAAAATAATGTTACATAATATTTGTAGGCATGGTCTGATTATTATTATTAGAGATTTATGGGATACGATGCATAGATTGTTACCTGATTGAATTTTGAACAACATTTGGAGATTATTGTGTAATGAATTCAACTAGATAAATTTATGAAGAGGAATCTACCTCAATTTGTCTGGATTAAACGGTACAATAATTATAAAGAATAAATATATTTTAAACAATAAAAATTAAAAAATAAAGCAAATAAAATTATTAAGACTAAAAAAATATTTTATCCTTATAAATATAAATCCACCACTTTAGAATCCAAACCTAAATCCGTCCTACCATTTCCGATAGCGAGAACGAAAAATCAAAATCCACCCCAACCCGTCTGTTGCCCTCCCTAAAAAATGACCCCTCTATGTTTCACACTTAAAATTTGTGACCGTTGAATTTTGCCACTAAGGCAAACTCATACATAATTCCCATCAGTCCGAACTAAAAGCACTACGTTAAATAGTAAAAATAAAAACAACATAAATGTGAGATGGCTAATTGGTTCAAGCATCCGTCCTAATCCTGGTTTTTAAAATACTCCATCACATTAAACAGCCATTATATTATACAGTGCTACTCTTAAAAGTTTTTACAAGTTTCTCAGCGCCAATAAACCTTGCTTCCAGCACAATAAAAATTAAAAAAAAAATTAAAATATTAAATATTAAAAAAAATGTCGACTCTTATTTTTGTTTTGAATTTAATTTTAATACAACATGAATGTAAAAAAATTACACAAGTAATTAAAAATCACCCAAAAATATATATTTTTAAACGATTACTATAAAAAGAAAAAAACTTTCCAGTGACTGTATCATAACAAAAAATTTAGGGCAGTTAAAATCTCATGGAGTCTTTTTACTATTCGTGCAATTATCATTTTTCATCTACACAACAGTATCTCACTATCAAAGTAGACATTTCCTGGGAGGAACGGAAAACATAGTGCACTAATATCCAAGACATCTTACCTTCACAAGCTGCGCTGAACAGTAAATCGAGAAAGTGTTGGGCTAAAAAATTTCGAGATCATTGAATTATCTCAAATAATAGAATACCTACAAGCAAAATTTAGACAATTATGCCAAGAGAAGAAAAAAAAAATCTTGCCTATGAGGACCAATGAATCTAAAAAAAAAAAAAGGTTGACCTGTACCGCAATTAAACAAGTTTATTACACAAAAAAAATGGTAATAAATCCACAAGTAAAAAGAAACTAACTAAATATCCCATATGAAATGATTCGGAGGAAAAGGGCTTGAGAATGTAAAGATTTTCCGGCAAAACCTACTTTCAACATTCTGACAGAAGACCGTCCGGTAAAACTTGGACCTCTGCTAAAATATAAATTGGCAACAAGTCAAACTCTGTATACCTGTATAACTAACTAACCCAATTTATTCTTTCACATTAGGTAATTACTGTCTTCTGTTTGGGAATATACTTTGTCTTGATTCCCTTTTCAGACTTCTTCAATCTGGGTTTGGATTTGGTAACCCTGGGGGTTCTGTTATCTGCATTTGCCACAATGTTGCATCTCTCCGCGTCAGAAGATTGACATGATTCAATTTTCAAATCCTGTGTCTCCCTCCCCTGGCACTCACCAGAAGATTCTGTGTCAGAGCAAACAAGCACTGTCACATCCTCGGATGCAATAGCTTCATCCCATCCTGCATGAGTAGTTTCAACAAGGCAAAGTAAATTTGACGAGTGAGCCAAGCCTACGATCACATTATCAGAAAAATATAAGAACCGTCACAAGGGCATGAAGTGATAAAGCTTACTTTTTTGTAGAAAAGCTTTTGCAGCACGGCAGAACAACCGCAAGCTTTCTGGATGCTCTGTATCCTCTACATGGGGGAAATTCTTTTCAAAGCCAAGATTGCCACCGCCATCTGTATTACACACCCTTAAAAAACTTGGACCTGACATATTTTGACCATCTTCATGAGCTGCATCAATTTCTGTCCCACCACTTTGAACCGGAAGTGGATCTTTAGTTTCAAGCCGGCTAACTGGCCTCCAAAGCTTAACTGTTGGGCGATTGTTGCCACTCAGGATAGAATCAGTTTTCATTGGCTTATCTCGAGAACTATTCTGCTTGGCCACATTTTCAACCACGCAGTTCTCTTGAGAAGCCACCATATTACCATCTGATTGGCTGCAATTGCCAAGATTAACAGATATGGATCCTATCAAAACTTCTTGATTCTTAACCTGGTCAGATTCTTTCTCTTTTATGGATTTTAAAACCACCTTGTCTATTTCTGTTTTAGACTTCCGGCTCCATACTTTACCACCATTAGCTATAGTAGATGCCTTTTGATCACAGTGGGTTCCATATTTCTGAATGACTTCAGGTTTTGACATTGAAGAATTATGGTTTGTATGCAAACCAGTGGCAACAGGCCTTGGTGATTTTGGCAACCCCTGTTGTCTGGCAACTGCTAGACGTTGATGTTTAGGTCCATTTGCTGAATCTCCCTCAATATTCTGATCCGTGACAGAGTCGTGCTCTGAATGAGTATCTCCATTTATTTCTTCATTGGTGTCAGGGCATTGGAAAGATACATCTGAAGCTGAGTTATCTGCAAATGTATTTGGATTATGATCTTCAAAATTGTATGTATCTAAAGATGCTTCTGCCAGTGATAAAGCCTTCACAGCAATGTCAATATTGTCTTTAATTTCTGCCTCAGATTTGTGTCTTTGTTCCCTAGCTTTCTGTTCTTTTTGTCTAATCTTCTTCAGGCGTTTCCTCTCCAAAATCTCAGCTTGTCTATAAAATTAGAGTGGATTATTAAACAATGAGTCCTATTATCCATACATGACCAAATTTAAAAGGCTTATTTTCAGCCATCTCTAAAATATCAGCATAAAATTTAACATGAAATAATGTGGCACAAAATTTATTTATAATAGTTCATTAGAAGTTACTGAAATCATATAAAATTAAAAATAACATGAAGGTCATAGCAGAGGCATCATATGTTCATACATTATTTTAAGCACATTCTAGAAGTACTCAAAACCTAAGTAGCAGGATTGGCCAAGTTATTGCATTATGAACGAGAGTTTACATAGATTAACAGGGCAAATTTTACTAAAACGATGCATGAGAGTTTAGTACAAGTTGATTATTGGTTTTCTTAAAACACCTGTTCGTGCTATTTATATCCATCATGGTGCAAGTCGCAAGAGCCTATCAACCCATATAGCACTAGGTTCTGCTTTGGGTTTCTTAGCCGTACAGATTATTGTGAGAATGAATCTCTTATTTCACAAAACAAAACAACCGAAAAGAAAGTGTTTTGTTCAGACTCCATTCTAAAGTCTATATTTAATTCAAATAGGATTATTTCTTAAATAAATAAGTATACTTTTATTGAATTGCTCAAATTCAACCAGGTACCTTTTCTGAGCAGCTTCTTCCTCCTCCACCAATTGCTTCTGGCACCTCAGTGCTTCAGCATCCTTGTCAGCAAGCCATGCCTTCACCTGAGTGAACAAAAGCTCATATTTCATCATGACTATAACAGAAAACTAATTTGAGAAAGTGACATTTTTAGTTTGTTAAAAAATACAACTAGGGCTTGATATATTGTTCCATGGGCCACCCCCACAAATTCAAATATTATGACAAGACATGAGATGGATTCATGAGTCAATTATCAAAAGTGAAAACACATTTGAAATGCATAGGTTTTTCAGCAGCCTCTGATGCTGAAAAACACATCTTTTTAAACCAAATGCACAAGGCACCTCGTATAAAGATAGAAGAAAAGGGGAGAGTTATATGAACAAACTTTGATGTTAAGAAAGACAATTACCAATTTCTGTTCTAGCAAGAAACTTGTGCAAGCAACTAAATTTTTTGGTTCAAGACCAATTTTTCCAACCTCTCCATCAAATACATATCTTTGCATTGACACAGCTGTCCCACATAAACATGTTTTTTCACTAGCATCATCAAGGATGCTGAACAACTCCTGGGATGATATAGGAAAACTGGAAGGTTTAGATTGAACGATATCCTGCAAACAATATAGTATATTGTATTAATATATCAGAAATACACATTTAACAAGATAAACTAATTAAAAAGTTAGACCATAAAGCTGCTTACCAAAAGGGCAGCACCAGCCATCAAATAATACTGAGGAAGTGAATAAAATCCTTGATTTTGAATTAGAGTAGTCAGAGATTTTAAAATTGAAGAACCTGGAACTTCCTGGAAAACATTGTCAATGAAGAAAAAAAAGACATTTAGATTAATTTATGAAAAACATGATATATGAAAAACAATGAGATAAAAACCAAAAGGGATGTGCTGCATATCTGCAGTTTTATTTCTTATCCATCTTGCCTAGGAAACATATTCGCCCTATCAGCAAACATATGCAAGGGTTTTTGGATCCTGGAGGCATATATGTCCTATTTTGTTCCTAACTTACTCCTACTCTTTAAAAGTTCATTATCAAGAAAACAAGTTCAAAATTGGTCCCACTAAGGCAAACTCTTTTGTTTAGACAGTAGGGCATAACAGGATTAAGAAAAACAGCTCGTGGCAAATTTGCACACACGTGCTATACTTTCTCCCAATGTGTTAAATGCAGATCAAGCTCAGAGAGAGTAGACAACTTGTTCTTGTAGCATAAGGTGATTAATTTCCTGGAAAAACCTTTTCAGGGTTATGGGGAGCTTTTTTTCGGGGGGTGGGGAGGGATTCATTACAAAGCTTTTGGTAAAAAAATATGGAGCCTTACATTTTAATGGAGTTTTGTCAGTCCCCATTTCCATACTAAATTGATCTATGTTTATGGCTTCTCTTTGGTGTTCTACTCATGGCTATTTCAAAGGTTTTGCTATTTTGGAGAAAATAGATTTGGAAACTGATAGAGCCCAATTAGTAAGGCAATATAGCAGGCCCAAGGTTTGGAGAGTCTACACTAGGAGGAATAAGATTTAACAGTTTATTATCTGTTTGTTATCTATTTAGGAAATTGATAATTATCTTCTGTTTTATCTTTCTAAATTAAAGTAAATATTATCTAGGAAGAGATAAGATTATCTAGAAAGTTAGCTAGGAGGGATATAAAAAAGGGGTCAGGGGAAGTCTGAAGGTGGAAGAAAAATTATTCTTTAAGAAATTGTGCGGAGCCTATGCTCTGGAAAGAAAGAGAAAGCAGATCACTACCTGTAATTCTTTTTTTTTATTCAATAAAGTATTCTTATATTTCCAGGAACCTATCAGAAACATTGTTGGTATTTAGCTTTTAGTTCAGAGGATTTCGCATCCCCCCTGCTTGTACTTTTTCGTTTTTATATCTAATAAAACTTCTTTTAAAAAACTCGATCAAATTTGAAATTGAAAGGCACCCACAATTTCCAATTTCATTGGGAGGGAATGGGGTGGGAGATGATGAGTCAATATAGAAAGAACACAAAAAATGCAGCTCATAAATGCAACTGTAGTGTAAATGAAGGGTGCTGTAGAAATATGATCACAAAAGTACTCTAGGTACAAACAGATCTAAGTTTTAACTAAAAATGGTATATTTATGGCTGAAATTCAGAACTTCAGAGCCACAAACCATGACAAATCACTCAGCTCTTATCTTAATTAAAGTGAAAATATGAAGAAGTACATCAGAGATGTGAGGTCTAATTTCATATTTGGCATATCAACAATAAGCATGCAAAATAATTTAACATTAAAATTTTAAAATAACTTCATGTTCAAATAGCTCATTCATACAAGGCGCAACAAGATTTTACCTCCAGTGCCACATTTTCGAATGATACAACTTCCTTTGCCTCTTCTACAGATAGCTATTCAAATCAAGAACAAAATCAACAAATCAAAACAAGTTGAATTATTCATGGGTTAAAATTTACAATGATGAAATGTTACCTTATCCCAATATGCTCCTAAAAGATCCCTAGATTTTGTAAAATCCTGTAATATGCAAACAACATAGGAAAACTTGAGGATGACAAGGAAAAGGAACAAACAAGCTGCTATCTACGTATATAGTGAAGAAAATACAAAAGGTGAATGTGTGAAATGAACTAAGAGAATAGATATAGAATAATTATTTGTGAGATCTAAAGAATACCTTATCAATCTTTTTTAACCGATGATGTACACGTATATGTCTTCTATAGTTAATGGGGGAGCAAAACTCTCGGGTACATTTGTCACACTTCTGCAACTGAACCTTCAGAGGAGAGAGCAAAGGCCACCCTGGAAATTCTGTCAAATAAATGAGAAGTGATGTCAGAATAAGACCTTTGGACTAATTTTTCCATAAGCACTTATAGTAAAAATAAGATAAATGCATTGAGCTTCTCCGTAAGCTAAAATCAACTTATGCACTATAGCTTTTGGAAAAGTTAAATGAAAATAGCTTCTATAAAAGTTAATTGCATAAGTTCATTTTAGTTTATAGGAAAAGCTTAATTATTTTACTTACTTCTCTTACAAGTACTTACAGAGAAGTTTAGTCAAACAAGGCTCCTAAGTGACTTTACAGTTAAATGTACCTATAACAAGCCCCAAAATTACTTATGATACAATGGGCATATTACTGTTAACCTTAGCTAGAAGTCTAGAACAGCACAAAGGCAACAATAATCTAAACTAAACTCTAAAAGATGTTAAACCTCTGCTTTATTTCTTTTTAATTTTACTATTTCAGGCATGCTATACATTACATATCACATGATTAATACAGGCTTTAACTCATTTAACATCCAATGCATACAAACTGTTATCACCTAAATGCTTTTGAAAATGAAACTCCAAAATTATGAATATACAAACCTGAAAAAGAATTGCTAACACCTTGTGGATCTAAAGCATGGAGTAATTGAATCCACTGTACAGGGCTGTCACTGGCCCTTGGAAAAGAAACAAAAGGTTCTTTTCCAATTGCCTGTCTGATTATGGTATCTATTCTGTCTTCTGTTTTCATAACATCTGGAGTGCCAGAGGCTCTGAGTTTTGCAATTGGCATCTACTAACACAAAAGCTTACCAAGCAATTGTACTAGACAACCTGCATAAAGTATAAAGCAATGTGTAAATTGGTCTAAATGTAATATCACAAGGAAAGGTATAAATTTGCTTATCTGATAAAATTTAGTTTCTAGTGACCAAGTAAAATTTGTCAACACATGCTTAAAGAGTGGGAAAAAAGACAACACTTTTGTTTGTTCAAAGCTGGGATTTTCCCAGATTATTTACCATAAAAAGAATGAGAAGATCCTGGAAATTGATAGATCAATGCCAGAGTAAAAACATAATTGCCCACAATTATTTCCTGTCACTTTCTCCCCAAGACCAACACCCTTGGTAGAAAAGTTAAAAACTAATGTCCAGATCAGACTAAATAGCATGTTCCAAGATATGGTGCATCATATCAGATCAGATGATCATGTTGATTGGACAAGTGGCATTGGAAACTTCAGCCCATTAAAGCCATGCAACATTTTTATAATAGGTCTTGCAAGGTGTGCAGTTGACAGGTGTCATTAAAAGTACTTATCATACATAATTAACATTCCAAATTTAGATTGAACAGCACACAAGGTAGTCAGATAAAATCTCATTCATAAATAGGAAATTAAAAAGATCTGAAGATCTTCTAATTCTCTCATTGTGCTTCCTAACTTTGGTGTTGTCCTTGTTATAAAGAGAATTTTCATATTCAAACCAGGTATCTTGTATATATATATATGAGACATTGTCCCCCTTTACCCCCACCTTCCCCCCCCACCCCCCCCCCCCCAC